AAGCATTTATTTACGTGTAAAAAGTAAAATAAAAACGGTAATGATGGTTATAATAACGACTACACCATCAATAATAATAATAATAATAATAATAATAATAATAATAATAATAATAAAGTAAACTGTATTACTACTAATAAAAACAACTGTAGTAGCAGTATAAAAATACGAACATTTAAAAAATTAACCAAGACAGGGACACTACTTAGGCCGTGTCCGAAAGCTCGCGTAGGCGGACCAGAAGCCCGGGTGACCTACATCGCCTTCTCCACCGATTCGGACGCGGTCGTCTCTAAATTCCTACACATGTCGATGTTCGATTTCATGTCAGCCTTTTCTCGTAATGATTTAATGCTGCGGTTGAGGTTTCTGAGCGTATGTGTCCGTGGTTGCGTGGCCTATGTAGGGCTATATATATGTTATAAGTGTGTATATGTATAAACACACACACACACACACACACACACACACACACACACACACACACACACACACACACACACACACACACACGCACACACACACACAATGACTATCAAGCCCTCTATGACTTACGCTATACGCACTTCACCTAACTGTAAATAATCCCGCACACTTGGCACGAAGCCCAAGTCGGCGTCGTTCTGGCAACAGTGGCGGGAATGTAGCAGACGCCGCTATCACCGCTAACAAGTCCTTCGCTATTTTTATAGACTCACCGAACGCGTCGTTTCTTAAAAGTACTTAACCTACATTTAGGAGTTTGGTGACATCTAAAACTTTTTGAATATGTAGTTCCTGTATGGGGGTTGGAAAATTTTCATGGAAAATGCTTAGTTTTACCGTGAACACAGGAAATGAAAAATGAAAACCACCCCAAACGGAAAAAATACTTCAATTTTAGCAGTTGAATTGCACAAAAAACTGAAGTACAAAAACAAACAAACAAAAACAGCAAAATACATCAAAACACATCCCACTGAGCTTCCTTTCCCGGCAAACAAAATAAATCAAAACGGACTTCCGGGTTCGCTAACGATAAGCAAACAGGAGTAGCAAAATCGGCTGCATCAGCGGTTGACCCTGATTGGTTAAGCGCTCAAAGTGTTGCCGTATTGAGCGCAGCGAGAAATGGTAACTCTCAAAATGAACGCAAAAAGTGTGTTAGTGGCGGGAATTCTTATATAAACCGCAGTCATTCAAACATGGCCGCTATTGTGGCAAAAGATAATAGCTTAATAAGGTTTGTTTTGGCGGAATCTTGCACAGCTGATTGGCCGAAAATTATCGTTTTATTCGCAATCAAAGACATGGGTTTGTATATGTCGCCTGGAACAAGTCGAGATAAATTTATGTCTCCATTATGTTTATCTCCAAATCAACAAGTTTCGCTCGTAAATCAAAGTTTTTTTTTTATTTACTATGACTGCATTGTTGCTCTAAAGTAAAATGTGGCCTTTTAATGCTAAAATCGTGAAAGAAAAGTAAGTCCATTGGTTGATAATTTGCAATGTGTAGCAAAGGAAATATCTGATGATTTATCTAGAGAAAATTAAAAACAAAGAATACAAAGCATGACCAGATACGCGAAAAGAGAAATAATAAACAAAGAAGTAAAGAAAGGACAAAGCATAATTAAAAGAGAAACAAAGAAACGAAACAACAGCAACAACAACAACAGAACAGAGAGAGAGAGAGAGAGAGAGAGAGAGAGAGAGAAGAGAGAGAGAGAGAGAGAGAGAGAGAGAGAGAGAGAGAGAGAAGAGAAAGAGAGAGACAAGAGAGAGAGAGAAGACAAGACAAGAAAAACGATAAGAATGCACCGAAAGAATGAAGAAGCAAAAGTTCCCGCCATTGACCAAACCGCCCGCCCAAAATATCACTTGCGTCGCCCGCGTGTTTGGAGGGAGAAATCATGACTAATATCTCCAGACGCTCCCTTAAGAACTCGGGATAGGGAGGGGGGTGGGAGGGGGAGGAGGGAAGGATGGGGGAGGGGGAGGGGGGGTAGGATGAGGGGAGGGGTGGAGGGTAGGTAGGGGAAGTGGAGGGGGAAGGAAGGGGGAGGGAGGAGGGGGAGGAGGAGGGGGTAGGAAGTTGGGAGGGAGGAGGAGGAGGGGGTAGGAATTGGGGGAGGGGAGGGGTAGGAGGTAGGAGAGGAGAGGGAGAGGGGGGGGGTAGGAAATTGGGGAGAGGAGGGGGAGAGGGGGGGAAGAGGGAGGGAGGAACTCAAGGTGACATGGGGAAAGGGGGAGGGAGGAGGGGGCAGGGGAAGCTGGCTGGATGTGACACACGTATTGCCCCCTTCCCCTCCCCTCCCCCCCTCCCCCCCCTCCCCCCCCCCTGCTGCGTTGAAGATTAGTGGTGATGATATTCAACAAAAATTTCGACAAGTTTTGATCCGAGATAATAACAGAGTTCGTGAATACCAATGGTTTATTTTTCGTCTCGAGAAATGGGTACATGTGTAAGGAAACTGAAGGATAAATGGGGAAACAGATGGAAAAAAATGGGGAAGAGAGAGAGAGAGAGAGAGAGGAGAGAGAGAGAGAGAGAGAGAGAGAGAGAGAGAGAGAGAGAGAGAGAGAGAGAGAGAGAGAGAGAGAGAGAGAGAGAAAGAGAGAGAAGAGAGAAAAGAGAGAGAAGAGAAGAGAGAGAAAAGAGAAAGAGAAAGAGAAGGAGAAAGAGAAAAGAGAGAAGAGAGAAGAGAGAGAAGAGAGAGAAGAAGAGAGAGAGAGAGAAAAGAGAGAGAGGAGAAAAAGAAGAGAAATAGATAGATACATATAGAGAGAGCCAAGTGTGAAGGTGAGGGAGCGGCAAAATAAATAATGACTTCACCTTCGATCACAGCTCAGAAAAGAGTGAGAGTAAAGGAAATTGAAAAAAATAAAAGGTGGATAAGAAGCTAGAGACATAAATAGAGAGAGAGAGAGAGAGAGAGAGAGAGAGAGAGAGAGAGAGAGAGAGAGAGAGAGAGAGAGAGAGAGAGAGAGAGAGAGAGAGAACTCAAGAACGAAACACAGACACAGAGAGAGAGAGAGAGAACACAAGAACTAGCGAGAGAGAAAGAGAGCTCAAGAACGAACAAAGGGCACAATAGCCACACCAAAGAACTAAACCCCAGCTCTCTTCAACAGCCTGTAATGAACACAGACCAACAAACACACGCAACTCAATCTCATTATGAAGCAACCACTCCCTGCTTGGCAAAACTCCGATCACCAAGGATACAGTGACTAGCAGAACCAATTATCGAAAATCAGAGTTAAATACATGCGATTGAGTTCTGTAAAAAAGAATAAAAATATAGACTGCTTTTTTCCCACCCTTAAAGAATGTGTATATCTTCCTGTTGTAAAAGAACACCTAGTTCTGATACCCGTTAGGAGTATAAAAAAGGGGGAAAAATGACAAGGTACCTTATGAAGGTTTGGTAAGCGAGACAAGTTCCTTTTAACTATAAAGCTTTAGGCGTTTAAAGTTGTGTGGTTGGGGGAACTTTATGACTTTTCGAAGGACGAAGTGTTCGACGTGTGTGCAATGGCCAAATAGAGATAGAAAGGTAGAGAGATAGGAGACAAGTGAATGAGTTTGAGAGAGAGAGAGAGAGACAGGGCGACTTGAATCTAAAATCAGCCTGTTCACAATGGAGCTTTTAAAAGTTTGGAAAGAGCGAAACACCAACAGCATTCCTGGTGATGCATTCTCCTACCACCCCCTCTCCTACCACCCCCTTCCCCCTCCCTCTGGTCGTCCAAGGGGTCGTGCAGGAAGAAGAGGGAGGGGGAGGGAGCAGGGGGGGGGGGAGGTCGTGCTCTGTCGGACTTGCTTGGTTGGTTCTTGTGGCAAAACTCTCCCCATGGGATTCTTGTAAAAAAAATGGAGACACACATAGAGAGAGAGAGAGAGGCACACACACACACACACACACAGGCGTCGAATGGGTCTTTGAACACCTTTTACATTCTGCCATCTGTTCTGTTGTTCTTTGCTGTCTTCTAGCACCACAGTAGGGACATGTGTCTAAGGCTGTGTGTGTTCATGCGAGCGTGTATACCATGAGCTACACATTGCTAAAGAGAGAGAGAAAAAAACTAACTGTAAATCCAATAAGTCGATTCTGACAGAAAGCTTCCGGTGTAACTGTCTGGATCACTTGGGTCGGCGCATTGAAATTTCCACGGAACATTAATCAGAAAAAATGGCAGATTTAAGCCCTGGCAGGAAAAGCGTGCTCGGACGTGCGTGCAGCCCATGCGAGAGGGCGCGCGTCTCTCTCTGACATTTCCAGCCAAGCAACTCTTTCTTTTCCCTCTCTCGGCGGGAGGCTTTCGACATGCCTGGCGTCAAAGCAGGGGCCGCGCAACACTCGCAGGCAACCAGTTCCCATGCAAAGAAATGGCTGGGGTCATCCTTTCACCCTCTCCTCCTCCTCTGTGGCTCCAAACCACAGACCCCACGACCCCCTCCCTCGCCTGTCCTTGGCCTCGCCAGCGGCTCCCGCACAGTTACGAGGGACTCGGGCACCGAGGCTAACGGGACGGCCAAGGATCCCGTCTGCCGAGCCTGGCGTCGAGGGCCAAGTCCATCGCACTTCGACTAGACCTAAGACTCGAGGACGACTTCCTCGGAGGCCTCCGGAGTTCACAAGGCAGAGCAAAAGCTAAAGGGCGACTTCTAGGCAATATCTATCGGGGCTTTTGAAGGCAGCTGAACAGCGGAGGGCACTGGGGATCTGGGCTCCGGAGTGTGAGCTAAGTTTCCTCACAAGGAAACGGAAGGGGCATGCGTCGCCGCGGAGTGAATGTTGCTTGTACTGTTAGCCCATGAAGGACACGGCTGCATGTGGGCGACCCGGGCGCAGGAGCGGCCTCAGCGCAAGTCTTTATCCGTGTATGAGCAAAGATAGAGAAGGAAACTCGTTTTGTAAAAGTTGTCAGGAAGTGGCACAAAGTTCTCTCCTCGCCTGCGTTTGTCGTCGCCGCCGTCGGGCGGACTTTCGCATCGGCAGAGCTACTTACTTGCTCCTCCTGGCGCAGCGGCGCCGTTGAAGACGGGCACGGGCGCGGCGGGCGACCTGCCGCCGTCGGCGACTGGCTGTGCCTGCACGACGAAGGGGTTGCCTCCGTCCGCGAGCGAGTTGAAGTCGAAGTTCTGTGGCTTGGCGAGCGCCGAGGCGAGCGCCAGGCTCACCAAGGCCGCGCAACACAAGGCTCGTCTTCCCTGCATGACCATTGTGTCTTGAAGCTGAGTTAAGAGATAAGGCAGTCCCGCACACCGACCGAACACTACGATGTCTGTACACCGACTGCCTGCCTCTCGCGCTCGCCTCGCCTCCCCGCCGCCGCCGCCGCCCCCCCTCCCGCCCGCCCGCGCGCACGCACGCACGCACGAACACGCCTCACACACACGCAGATGTAGGCTAGTGGGTCCCCAGGCCCTCCACCTCCTCCGCCGGGCCCCCTCCACCTCCGTCCACTCTCCACCTCACACCCTCCTCCTGGTCTCTCATAATTCGACTTCCACTCGCTTTTCCCTCATGCTTTCGCCCTCACGTCCATAAAATGACCTACAGGCTCAATATGGAACTATACTGATGGTTTTCCTATGAAGCTTTTAACTCGACTTTCCCGCTTTAAGCTTTTCTCTTTCTCTCTCTCTCCCTTGGTAACCTTCGCTGTTTCTCATCCTCCCTTTTCTCTCGTTTTAACTTCTCTTTTCTCTTTATTCTCTCTCTCTCTCTCTCTTTCCCTCCCCTTCTCTCTTCTCGCAATCTTTATCCTTCCTCACCCTTCTCTTCACATTTCTTTATTCACCTTTCTCTCTTTCTCTCTCTCTTTCCCTCCCCTTCTCTCTTCTCACAATCTTTATCCTTCCTCACCCTTCTCTTCCCATTTCTTTATTCACCTCTCTCTCTCTCATTTCCTGCCCCCGCTCTCCCAATGCAAGAATGGTGGGCGTGGGCGTGGGCGTGAGGGTGGCGTGGGCTAAGTCTCATGACCGGAAACGATCCAAGAATTTTTTTTTTCTTCGATACATCCAAGACAATATATTTTTTTTGATACATCCTTGAAGTTTGTTCTCTCGTTATTTTTTTTCTTTATTCATTCACTCAAAGTTTGTTCTCTCGTGTATAATTTTTTTTCCTTATTCATTCACACTCATTCTGTCGACGCCTTAAGTGGATGGCGTGGGAGGAAATAAGGGAGAAAGAGAGAGAAGGAAAATACGAATTGGGAAAGAGAAAAGAAATTGACAAACAAGGAATAATAAAATAGGAAATAAGAATTATGAGAAATATGACAAAGAGAAAAGAGAGAGAGAAGGAAAATACGAATTGGGAAAGAGAAAAGGCAAAAATTAGGAAGAAGGAAAATGGAAAAGTGATAAAAAAGGAAAGAGGTGACATAGAGAGAATATGATAAAGTACATGAATAATTAGAGAGAAAATAAAAAAAATTACGTAGTAAAAGGGATGAGGAGGAAGAGGGATGGTAAAAGAGCGAAAGAAAGAAAGAAGCGGGGAACAGGAAACTGTGATAAAGAAAGGAGTAGGAGGAGATTTAGAAAATACTGACCCTAAGAAAAGACGAGCAAATTGCACAGAATTACGTGCAATGAGAGAGAGAGAGAGGAGAGAGAGAGAGAGAGAGAGAGAGAGAAGAGAGAGAGAGAGAGAGAGAGAGAGAGAGAGAGAAGAAGAGAGAGAGTAAAGAGAAGAAGAAAAGAAGAAGAAGAAGAAGAAGAAGAAGAAGAAGAAAAAAGGCATGATAAAGAAAGAGTGAAAGAGATATTCAAAAAAAAACACGATTAAAAAAAAAAAAAAAGATAAATAAGCTCTCAAGAAAAAAAAAAATAAAAAAAAAAAAAAAAATCACAAAAAAGGAGCCGAAGGAGGGAAGGAGGGAAGGAAGGCGTGGCGAAGAGGAGAGGAAGAAGGAGGGACAGAGGTCAGTAGGAGGAGGAGGAGGAGAGGAGGGATGAACACGTCAGCTGGGGAAGCGAATGTGACCCGCAGCCCAGCATCTCACAAGGCGTCGGTCGGTCGTCGGTCTCCGCTAATTCTGCGAGAGACCGATTTGCCTTCTTCGGGGGAGAGAGAAGGGGGAGAGAGAGAAGGGAGAGAGAGAGAGGGGAGGAAAGGAGAGGAAGGGGAGAGAGATAAAGAGAGAGGGAGAAAGGGAGAGAGAGGAGGGGGAAAGGAGAGAGGGAGGGAGAAAGGAGAGAGAGAAAGGAAGATGAAGAAGAGAGAAAGGAGAAAGAGAGAGGGGAGAAAGGAGAGAGAAAGAGAGAAGGAGAGAAGAGAAAGAGAGAGAGAGAGAGAGGGACTAGAAAGAAAATAATAAAAAATAAAAGAGTAAAAAAAATAAAAAATAAAACACCAGAGGAAGATAATAAAAAAAACAGAAAAAGACAAACACGCCAACAGACAGACAGTAAATGAACCAAAACTATTAATAATACAAAAGACAATTGAACCCAGGACGTGATACAGTCTGTCTGGCGCTACAGTACAACCCGATAGACGGAACAGCTATAAAACAAAGGGTCATAAGGTTCTCTCTTTCTCTCTCTCTCTCTTTCTTTCTTTCCCTTTCTCTCTCTCTTTCTCNAGAGAGAGAGAGAGAGAGAGAGAGAGAGAGAGAGAGAGAGAGAGAGAGAGAGAGAAAGGGAAGAGCAAGACCTCACCCACCCTCCTACTTCAGTCCATCGTTCTTGTTCCACTCGCTTCGACTACTATGTCCCTTCCTCATCCCTTTTAGAAAGAAGAAAAAATCCCTAATTTCCGCCAAATGTGTCTCCCGGTCTATTAGTTCCCTCGGTCCCTTCCTCCACCTAAACGCACACTCACACCCGCTGCCGCTCTCAGCACCCTCATCCATTCACACCCCATCGGTCTCGCCTCACACGCCGCCCTCATCACAGTGCTGTTGAAACATGCCGTCATCAGCTCTGGTCGTGGCCATAGCTGTCAGGTGCGCTCTTCCCCCAAGAGCTATCCGGATGCATCCTAGAAATTCCACGAAGATCTGGAGGTCTGTCCGAGTCGCCCGGCAGCGCTCTCGTCCTCCCTCCAGCTGTGCCGCCGTCGACGTCGCAGAGTCCGCTGTTTCTCGGATGCACCCGGCACAGTAATGGCTACGGCCGGCCGGGGGCAACATCTCCCCAGTTTCTCAAAGAGACATTAAATCGAATACATTGATAATAGGCTTGTCAATGATTCCACACTGCACACGAAGTGACAACGACTAACTTCGGATAGTCTACACATGTACCGTATGTACAAATTTGTTTATGTTTACAGTCATTGGAGAGGTCTGAAAGTGACGCTATCGTATATTACAGAGGACAACATTCATCTATAAATCTATTTGACGATTTTTTTCTTGTTTAAGTATAGGGAATCTTATGACGTGCCCTTTTAAACAAGATTTAGGTACTCATAAGACTAACTGAAGTAAAATAATAAAAGTAAAACGTCCTTCCAAGGTAAGTCGTAGCTAAAGCTCGTAAGTACACTCAAGGAACAGAACATGGGTGAGGCTTGAATGGGCTTAACATCTCGAGACGTTTTACCGTGATGATACCGGTGTGATTGCAGTTAAACAAATGCAACACTTAATCTTATTCACATAAATGTGTGTGTGTGTGTGTGTGTGTGTATGTATGTTTATATGGATGTGTTATCTGTCTATCTACCGATCTTTCCATCTATCTTGTTCATCTATCTACCTATCTGTTTGTCTATACGTGTGTATATGTATGTGTGCGTGAGTATATATCTGTGTGTGTGTGTGTGCATGAGTATATATCTGTGTGTGTGTGCATGAGTATATATCTTTGTGTGTGTTTGTGGGTCTGTGGATGTGTGCATACTGTATCCAAAAAGAAACTGACTTTCTTGATATTCAGATTCAAAACTTCGAATTTGAGGTATGTCTCTAGTCCTCCCCACTGCTGCTCGAGCGCTACTATCAGCATTTTACACCTGGAATGACTGCTGTGGGAGAGTGCCCAGATCCCCTAGCGCTTTCGTTCGCTCTCTCTCTTTCTTTCTTTCTTTCTCTCTCTCTCTCTTTCTTTCTTTCTTTCTTTCTCTCTCTTTCTGTCCCTCTCTATCTCTATCTTTTGCTTACTCTTTGTGTGGCTCTCCTGGTAGTACATAAACATCCAGGCATTATGGAAGTGTGTGCTTATACACACACACACACACACACACACACATAGACACACACACACAC